ATGGGATTGATAGAAAAAATCAGTTGCGGTCTTAAAAATATCTATTAATTCCTCTTGTAGCAAGTGTGAAGATACAGACGAAACTTCTCATATACTATGCCATTGCGTAAATATTTGATGGTACCGGGAATAAGAATTCTTTTACCAGAAGAAATCACGATAATCTCCCTCAAGGAATATTCTTGAAGCTTACAGCTTCAAAACTAGTTGGCTTTAAGCCAGAAACCTATAAGAAATTAAAAGAAAGTTTTTACGGCTTAAATGTGATTGTTTTTTGTAAAATATTTAACATTTTTGAATGGGTAACAGGTTCATTTAATGATAAAAATAATGAAATTGAATTTTGTACTTTTCCGCATTATTATGTTTAGTTATAGTAGAACAATCTTTAATTAAAATACTTTCGTATTTACCCAAGTTTAGTTATTGTTTCCAAAAACATCAAGTGTTTTTATGTAAAGGAAAGTCGAACAATAAAGCCTAATATCACGAACTCTACTAGAGTGCAACATGCAAAAAGTAATCAAATTTAATAACTCAATTCTTGTGTAGAAATTGCTTGGGTTTAATAGTATATTTTTTATCGTTTTTACTGAATCTAAAACTTACCTATCTCCAACTAAACCGTATGAAAGTTTTCAAATGTTGAGAAATTAAAAAAGTTGGTTCTTGATCAATCTTTTAAAATGTCGTGAGCGGTTTAGTTGAAAATAATTTTACAAGCTAATAGAAATAAGAAAACAATCGTATGGTCTAGAATAAAATTTTTCTGAAAGTTTTTCATGCAGGTGTGTGTTTTTGCAAAAGAAATTTATGGTGTTTATAATGTTTAAAAGTGATATATAATTATCAAAGCATTTAATTTCAGTGAAAATACATAAATATTGTATGTTGTCATATTTAATTTTTTTGATAAAATAAAAATCTTAATGATCAGTAAAAATTCCCCCTTTTGGCACACAAATTTGATCACAAGTTTAAGTAGACACAAACCTTATAAAATATAAATAGTAAGGTTATGTGTCCATTATATACGGTAATATATTGTACATTTTATAGGTATAGATTGTTTAAAAATATATATTTGGAAGATCAGGTACCATCTTAAGTCAATGTTTTTTAAATTTTATTAAATAATACAAAAATTTGTTTCCAAGTAAGTTCAAAAATAATATTTGATCATACAACAAACAATAATGCTCTCCCTTTTATTTTCCATTCCATTGCTAAAATGCATATTTATCAATCAGGAAAATAATTTCCATGAAAACTTTACACACTTTGTTTTTCTTTTATTGAATTGATTAAAATTCAGTAATAAAATTTGATCTAAAATACAGCAAAATGTTACGTTTAAAGTTATTTAGACAAAATGAAGAAATAACCTCTTAAGGCTTATTTTAAAACATAATTACTTAGTACTAGATACTTACTTAGTACTACTTTAAAAAACTTTATAATAAATACATGTTAAAACTTTCAGTCGCCTTTTAATTTTTAAGTAATCTGTAATCTATAAAGCGTAAAATAAAAATATGAAACATTGAAGTAAGACAAGTGTTAGGGTATATTATAATAATTAAAAAATGAAAATCGTATGTTGGTTTAAATTTTGAAAAATAGTATTAAGACGAATTATACTTTATATAGGAGCTCTGAAAACAAGAATTGCGCAAAAACGCAAAGCTAGAAAAGCTTTCGGAAATATTGTTTCATACTTTTGTTCAACACATTTATATAATTAATGGTTATCTAATCGATCTAAAAAAATATTTAAACGCTCAATGTATTTGAAAAAAGCATTGTGCAGTGAGTAAGTCTATTAGTAATTTAAAGTTATCTTCTAAAGAGTAAACAAAAACTATCTTCTTACTTGAAAGAAAATGCATTTTATTAATCTAAAAATACAAGAAAGTGGGTCCAAGTAAGAGGCATTCTTTATAAAAAAAATCCTATTCGAGCGGTGCCTGGAAACTAATTTTTGAGCATTGCAGTCTACTTGTGTATAAAGTATATATAGTGTTTTGTTTTTTTTTTGAGTTTTAAGCAATGCTTTGAATTCAGTCAAAATGCATGTCTAGACAAGCAAGAACAAAGGTAAAGCGTATAACTTTAAAAGATGCTACTGACGATATACCGGCTGTCCCACCAAAAAAAATCTACCTGAAATAAGAATGTTACCGAAAAATATGCTAAAATTTTCAAAATATTACAAGCAATCTAAGAGAGACATTTTTTAGAGCGTATTAAATATTGTTAACATATAACCTAATCTATTCAAAGACTTAGTAAATGATAAAGTTCTTCATCTACTAGATCTAATATTTCAGCTCTTTGAAGAAGAGGATGTTCCCGTATAAAAAATATACAGTGTGATGCGAATGTAAGGATTACATTAAATATTTTGAAATTCTGAAACCCTTTGTTTTTATTTTCAAACGCGCGTATTGTTAGATAATCCTTTTAGTCGTGATATCTTGTGTGTGTATATTTAGATCCTCGTTGGCTCTGTGATATATCCACAAAAAATGGAGAGAGGTAAATAATTGGTCTTCATACTCAAACCTGGAAGGATGGATTACACTGTCCCGAAACTTGCCGGCCAATTAGCCTTACATTTTCCATGGAAGCTATGCGAAAGGTACATAAGGGATGTAGTGATTACAACAACACCATTTGGGTGACCAAATCAACATGTATACATCTCAGGAATATTTATTCAGACTTTCACCTAAATGCTGGCCTGATAGATACATCCCTGGACAATAAAGAGACGCCTTGGGTGTTTTCATAAGCATAGAAGGTGCTTTTGACTAAATCACATTCCCCAAGATAATACACTCACTAATCATCAAGAATGTTGCACAGCTGGTTAGTGGGTGGATAAATAACATGCTCTCAAAAAGAGCAGTAAATATAAGTGCAGAAGAGGGGATGTTCACAGAGAGGGGTATTATACACTGTACTGTGGAACATGGTCTACGACACCCTCATCAGCCGCCTTATGTTAGTCTCTACACAATAGCGTATGCAGATGACCTGGCCATTCTGCAAATAGGAAAAATTGAGAACATACTTTGCGAAAGAATGAAAGTAGTCCTCAAAACCATTCACTATCAGTCTCAAGACGACATAAATGGTACTTTTCACAAGAATGAACATGAATTCACACCTCCAGAGGTTCTTAACACCAAACTAAACTTTGCAACAGAGGCAAGGTAAAGAATTATGCGGTCGAAACGTGAAGCGCACCTGGGTCTTTCCTCCAGAGCCGTCACATGGACTTACAAGGCCATCATAAGTCCTATGCTAACATACGGTGCAATTGTATGGGTATCGAATACCAATCAATTGACAGCTATTCGCAAACTAGAACAAATTTAAAGAACAGCATGTCTCAACATAACAAGAGCTATGAAAACCATACCAATCACAGCCAAAGAAGTCATTCTTAGTCTGACTCTCATTGATATTTACATCAAGAAGGTTGCTCCGCAAGGTTAGAATAGAACCATGTGGAATCTGGTGAGGCAAGAGGTTGCTTAATACGATTCCACTACTTTAAGCGAACATGGATTATCTCACTGAGATATAAATTATAGCGAAACAAATAGAAGAGCCGGAAGTAGCATCTACGATTCATATCTACACCGACGGTTCTAAAGTAAAACAAGGCTTAGGATGTGGAATATACTCCAGATCCTTAAACCTAAACACATGGGCTGAGTAATAGTATGCCAATGTAGTTTAAACCGAGTTCACGGGGATTCTCATAGCAGCCAAAAAAATTACCAGAAATAATATCACTGGAAGGAACATGAGTATCTATACAGATAGCGAACAAGCACTACTCACCCTAAACAGACCACGAATTTACTCAGAGTTAGTACTAGAATGTCACGAAGCTTTGGCAGAAGTATCCATCAACAATGTGGCCACCTTAAGATGAATCAAACGTCACGATACATTGAAAGGTAACCAACCGTCTTGTTGATCCACTACCCGAGAAGGTAGGTAGCCAACCAAATAGTTTTTGGTCATTGTCCTTTCATTGGACTGACAACATCGATAGTGACAAACCTAATTAAAGAACATTCCCTTCATAAATTCAAGTAAAGATGGAACAAAACAAGTAGCTGCAAACTTGCCAGGGAGCTTTTAAGTTATCTCGACAGAATCTTATAGGCACACTCTGAATGGTCTTCATAAGGGGTTGTTAGAATCCCCACTGTGTAGGTGACGCGAACAAGAAGATGAGACACTCGAACATACTCTCTACAATTTGCAGACGCTCTCATTTATTAGAAGATTTGTGTTCTACGGGTATTGGATAACACGAGCCGATAGAAAAGAAGCAGTTCTCGGCGAGCTAATAGGAACCTATCAATTTAGGAGGATTCACAATGGGCATAGTGGGGCCTAAGTGCCGTAGGGGCAACGATACAGATACAGAGAGCGCGATGACATCATCGATTATATTTTAAAATATAAATATGGTTCATGCAATACTTGGATTTAATTCAGAGCCGTGTGTAGTTATCACAAACATGACTCGTAACTCTATCTTTGTCGGTCTTGGCCTACTTTAGTAACATTTTTTTGGATATCACTTTACTTTTAAATAAAAATACAGAACATAATAGGAATTAAAAATTATGTCCATAGACAATAATGAGTAGATTTCTCATGACTGACAAAATGAATATTTCTTAACACTCTTAAAAATTCGTCTCCTTGATTCATCGAAATTAGGTCTTAAAAATTTTGGCGCAGTTTTCGATTACATAATTATCTAAAATTTAAATTTTCGGCAGGTTACCCGATAGAAAGAGAAAGGTGAAAAAAGTAAAGCAAGAAAATAATTGTATTCTGTCACTGCCATAAGTAACATGGCGTTTTGTATTGTATTTTTTTTATTTTGGTTTTTGAAAATCGTCAGGGGCATTAAGGTGTTCTAAAAAGCAACTCTTGATTGAGTAGTTTTACTGGAGAAATCTTACTTCTTTTTTCTTTTTCCTGCGTCCAAAACCGGTCTGCAATAAAGTTCACATAATTTAACATTGGTAAGCACACAACACCGCTGCAATAGCTAACTCTATGTCACTCTATGATTTTTTGGATTATTTGTCACAACAAGATAATTTATTAAAATAATGTATTTTAGTACATTTACGTTAATAAAAAATATATAATTTAATGATGTAATAGGTAATAACCGGTCTATACATACAATTTTACGCTCTCTTTAACCATTAGGTAAGAGAATTAGGGATTTTCTGACACAACGAGTCACTGAAAGAAACGGGTAGGAGTTCCCTTACTACTTAATACAAAACAAAAGAGTTTAATATCTTTATAAATATATGATTAATTCAAGTCAAATAAATTAAGTGAAAATGCTCCTGTAATAAAAATCCTGATCTGTAAAAAGTAGTTATCTCCATATAACTAAAACCAATTTTAAACACTGGAATGGGATAGAATGAAGAATAGTTAGTTGCATTAGGCATACAAAATACTATAATAATGTTGAATAGGTCTAAAAATCAATACATTTAGTAATTATTAATAAGTAACCGAGAAATCTATTTTTAGAACAAAAAAATAAATCATTTTCTCTTTTATTATAGTTCGATTGACTCAATATTTTTAAGTTAATTAAATATACTATTACGGAAAATAAATAGTCCATGCTTTTTATATTTTTGTTTTAGAAGTTTTTTCTTTTCTATATATCCTGATTATTTGAAAAGTCAATTTTCTAGAATTATCGTAGTTATGTTTCTTCGCTTGTCTTCCTCAATAATTGCTACATGTAGTGTATTACTACCCAAATGGGTAAAAAGTTTAAAGAATGAGTTACATAATACTATCCTTATTGCTGCTAGTCGGTCTCTTCACACTGATCACTTCTCGCTTATTTTTACTTCAAAGGCCAAGACGCACTAGAGCGGTCACGGCCAAGACCACGACCATGGCTGGTAGCAAACGATCAAATTTAATAAGAACAATAGTGTATTGTAACGTAGCACCCTGCAGCGTGCTGCGGTCGTCATAAGTAAAGGTACGAGTAAATGAAGAAGATAGAATAGTCCAGAAATGTCTTGAAATGTCATTTCTTGTCAAAGAAAAATCCGGATTGTTCGAGAAGGTTCTAGAAGGTTGAGGCGAGCTATATAAGTCGACGACCTGACGTCAGAAGTCAGTTTTTATGATAGACGTTACATGTTAATGTTATCAGTTGTATAGTTATTGTAAAAGTTGAGTTGAAATAAATTTGAGATACCAAAAACCTGCGTAACATTGGTAACAGCAGTAAGACACAAAGTAGAAGTTTATGGTAAATACTAGATCCATTGAGTACGAAGCGGGCATGAATACTTCGGGCCCACCAGCATGGTTTTTGAAGATGGAAGAGGAGAGAGTAAGGCGAGAAGAGGAAAAGAAAAGACGCAGGAAGGAAGAAGAGGAGGAAAAGGAAAGACGCAGGAAGGAAGAAAAGGAGGAAAAGGAAAGACGCAGCAAGGAAAAAGAGGAGGAAAAGGAAAGGCGTAGGAAGGAAAAAGAAGAGAAGAGGGAAAGGCGAGAAGAGGAGAAGGAGGAGAGGCATAGAAAAGCGGAGGTGGAGATTATAAATGGCTTGCTGTAAATTCAAGAAAACCTTAAGCAAGAGGTAGGTCAACTGAAAAGTCGAATAGATCTCTTATCACAACAACAAGATAATTTAAAAACTAATTTAACACAACAAGTAATGGCTAGAATAGAGTTAGGCACTAGAACTAAACTAGCGAATTAAAAATAAAAATTCGTAGCCTAGCTTTGGCAAGCAACAGAGAAACTGAAAACATTACTCCGTCCTAAGCTATAACCAAATCATGCCATATCCAAAACCCAGTTTCCCAAAGCCATACTAGCAAGACCATTAAGCCATCCACGTTTGACGGTCAGACAACATGGGAAACGTATCGACTCCAATTTGAAGCTGCAGCTAGAGCTAATGGTTGGACCAAGAAAGAGATGGCGGCTTCATTGATAGTATCGCTGCGAGGACAGGCAGCAACCGTTTTACAGTTACTTTCCCAAGAAGAACCCAATTAATCATCTCTCGTCCAAGCTTTGGAGACAAGATATGGCCAGCAGCATTTGCAACGGGTATTCCAAAGCCAGCTAAAGGTTTGTAGTCAGAAACATAATGAGGGTCTACAGGAATTTCAGGCCGACATAAGAAGGTTGATTCATCTGGCCTATCCACAGGCACCGAAAGATTTCCAAGAACAAATCGAAATACATTGATGGACTACAAGGTGTGGTAATGCAGCAAGCCCTGCGTCTACAACATCACAAGACGCTGAGGGAGAAACTGATTGCAGCCCAGGAATATGAAGCGGTACAACTCATATCCAATTCTTGCGCAAAAGTGAGATAAATTAAATCCCATGAAAGTGAGGAGACCAATACTAATGCTACTCCCCAACCTACCCTCTCGCAAATATTAAATATCCTGCAAAATATGCAACGATACAGCCAAAGTGAAAGCAAGAGATGTTTCAATTGTGGAAGAATCGGGTACCTTCAAAGAACCTGTAAAAGCAGAGCTCGTTCTATAAATCGAGAATCAGGGAATAAGGCCGGAAAGTCATATAGATCAATCTTCCAAAGCCCGTCCCGAAGTCCAACAAAAAATAGTCACAGCAGCTATGCGTCCCGAAGAAGCCAATCACCCACACCTAGCCGGCTTTCTAGCAATAATCAGGAAGTAAAGCACCGTAGAGGCCTCCATAGCAACGCAGACATTCTCTCCAGGAGACTCTGTTTAGAACGAGAATGCCCGTACAGCAAGGGGCTCGGAGAACGGGAAGAACCGGTTGATACAGTTACTCTTCGGGCAACCACTATCAAACCAGAGAGCGACAAAGAAGAAATCACTCTTGAAAGCCTGAGAAAGGGGCAGAAGAAAGACAATGACTTGAAGGTCATTCAAGAATGGCTCAAAAATAAAGTTACACCTACTTGGCAATACATAGCCAAATACAGTGGAGCTATTAAAGGGTACTGGACTCAGTGGGATTCCCTATATCTTCACGATGGCCTATTGCACTGGAAGTGGGAAAGCCCTGATGGTGTACATGTAGTTCGCCAAGTGGTACTGCCGAAATCACATGTCAGAAGTGTGTTGGAGGAGCTTCATTGTAGCCGTTCGGGAGGACATTTTGGTACTAAAAGAATACTGGCACGAGTACGGGAAAGATTTAATTGGGTCAATTGCCGAAGGGATGTAGCGGATTGGTGTAAAAAATGTGATATATGAAATGGCAGGACAAAGGTCTACGGATTCGCTCGAAAATGACTGAAAGCCAACCGCGATAAAGCAGAAGCTGAAATCGACAGGCGTGCCATAGGGACACATTTTGAGAGATGCGACCCAGTACGGCTGTGCAGTCAAAAATCGCAACGGAAATGGGAAGGCCCCTACGCCGTCCTTAAAGAAAATCAACAACCTCATCTACAGCATTCAGCTGTCAGCGGGAAGTAAATGCAAGTTAGTTCACATTGGAAAGTTAGCGCCATGCCGTGGGCCAGATCCTACCCGTTAGCTTTAACCAGGTCCCAATATTCAAGTTATTCGGGGCGAATAACTAGAGAGGAGGGAGCAATGTTACGCAGCACCCTTCAGCGTGCTGCGGTCGTCATAAGTAAAGGTACTAGTAAATGAAGAAGATAGAATAGTCCAGAAATGTCTTGAAATGTCATTCCTTGTCAAAAAAAAATCCGGATTGTTCGAGAAGGTTCTAGAAGGTTGAGGCGAGCAATATAAGTCGACGACATGACGTCAGAAGTCAGTTTTTATGATAGACGTTATATGTTAATGTTATTAGTTGTATAGTTATTGTAAAAGTTGAGTTGAAATAAATTTGAGATGCCAAAAACCTGCGTAACAGTATAAACGCGCACTATGGATATGCAGTCAACGACCAATGTTAAGTACAATACGCCGTTTACCTTAACTTTGGAATTTTAGATATATTGTGTTTTAGTAAAGTGCTTGTATTTTGTGTTTGCCGAGTTAAGTGATTCTTAAACTATGGAAAAAAGTGTAAAACTGATCCTTACATATTTTGTATTTTTATTTGTGAATCGGATAGTATAGGAATAAAACAAATCATTACGTTAAAACTGGCCCAAAAGAGAATCTTTAACACCATGACAAAAAAATGTTAAATATGCTGCGTTACTACAACCTGATAATGTATTTTTGCCACTTGTTTATATAAAACTTGGTGATGGATTGTTATATTTAAAAGAAAAAATTCCCAAAACCAGTGAAGCAAAAATTAAAAAGAGCATATTTATAGATCTTTAAATCAGGAAACTGATAAAAGATGAAATTTTTAAAGTAAAACTCTCTAATCTGGAAAAATTTGCTTAGGAATCTTTCATGAAAGTGACTCCGAATTTTCCCGGAATACATCGATCAGATGACTATAAAAGTATTGTCGAGGAGTTTTTAACTTCCTATAAAGTTTTAGATTGTAACATGTCCTTAAAAATACACTTCTTGCACTCTCATTTGGACTTTTATTTTTCAAAATTTGGGCGGAGTCAGCGATGAGCATGGTGAAAGATTCCACCAGGACATTTCTATAATAGAACAACAATATCAGGGCAAATAGAGCCCACGTATGCCAACGGATTATTGTTGGACATTACGACGAGAATTCCCTGAAGCAAAATAACGAAGAAAATTATAAGACACATGTATAATATAACATTAAAATAGTGTGTGTATACGTTAATTTAGTTCATAAAAACCGTGTTTTTTTAAAAGTTTTAAAATCTTATTACAATAAAACTATTCGTATATGAAATATTCTAATATAAATTCTATCATGTTCTAAATATAATTAGTTGACAGTTTTCTTCTTACATACAAAAAGTGAATTTTTAATGATCAGTGTTATTTTCGGAAGACAAGCTCGAAACATTCCGATTGATCTACCTTACCATGTATGTCAATCAATCTTTTAATTATTTTTTTATTTGACTGCTTTTAAGAATCATGCATGAAACCACAAAACATTACTCACAGTGTTTGCAATTTTTTTTAAACAGATATTCTGACAATAATAATGAAAAGTATAAAACTTTCCCATACATCCACATCGATATATTTTATAATAATGGAAATAGCGGTACTTTCAGCTTCAAGGAACGACTAATACTATTTGTTCAAATAATGTACATACATAGACAGAATTACTCAAAACAAAAAATGTGAATACTCTTTTACTGGAATAACTTGTTATTACAATTGTTTTTTAATATATTGATCTTTTCTTTAAACATATAGTACATTTTGTTGCAATCCATATAACATTAGGATTATATTTAGTGGCACAAATAATATTTAACAAAAGAAGATAATGGTTCCTTTTTCGGTTTGATTAGTTTATATTTTAAAAAATCGGGTTAAGTAAATTCATTATATTAATATTAATATTAATACATACCTATAAATGTATCTTGTTGTGACAAAGGTTAATTTACAAAAATTGGAAAAATGTACAATGAAATTTGAAGTAGTCTGTTATAAAAGATCATAATTTTTAAATAAGTATCCCAATTTTTATATAAATAAAGGAATAGTTTCTAATAAATACATACAGTATTTTCATGTATTCACTATTTAAATATTTACACTTTTATAGAATTATTTAGTGAATTTTGTGATACCTATAAATATGTCCTAAAATAAAAATTGACGTATTCATGTGTAATCATAGTTGTGACAGATTTTGCGCCAGAGCACTATTTTTTTGAAATATTTATAATTTTGCTAAACCAATGGTGATATGTAAATGTAGATCTATGTTTGTGTGATAACATTGATGAATTTATGAAAAGTAGATTGGCAGGTACATAGACATGCAATATTTTCAAGCAAACAAACAGATATATGTATATTATATATATTATATTTTAGAAAAGACGACGTGTATCTTGTTTGACATAAAATGTATCCGTTTCCTTTAAATTTATTTAAATTCATATGAATTTGGGTTTAATTTTTAATTTAAAATGTTATAATTCATTCAAATATAGTATAATTCGCAAAAGAAAAAGTAAAACACAAATAGCCAATTGCAAGAACTAGTTTCGGCCAATAGCTATCATCAGGCCTAGAATAAAAATATGAGTTGTAACAGAGAATAACAAAGAGGGAAGAGTAAGTTAACAATCACATACTACATTAGCCTTGTAGAGACTTAAAAACCCATTCATTTTTTTGCATGACAGCAAATTACATTTTTGCTTGGCTACATAAACCGTATCATCTTGGAAAATGTCGTAGCTAATATTTTGCCTGTGCTTCATGCCTAGCAAAATAAGAGTGCCCATTTTGTCAGAGATGATATAAAAGAGCTTATGTTAAGTTGATAAAGGTAACCCTCTTATATTTTGATACATTTGAAAATATTATATTTATTGGTTACCCTTTGTGATAGGTATCTGTGTCTTTATTTATAATTTTGTTCCCTTCAGAATTTTTACCTATTTCTTACCTTTCAAAAAAATGGATGTACATTTTTTATTAATATTTCATATTATACGACAAATGAAACAGGTCTTACATGAAATTATATATTGAGAACTTTTAAAGGATACATTTTAGTCTAAACAGAAAAAAAGATACAAATTCTATACTAATTTACTAATAAATAAGCGATGATTAGAAGCATCTGCAAGTATTTTTTTCGTTTTCAAAAATATTGTATTTTAATTTAATTTGGAGTATTTTTTTACCAAATATTTCACGACCTATTGTTTCTTAAAACATTTCTTATGTAGGCCTTAATAATTTAAAAGCTTATTAAATTAACGAGGATCAAATAAACATGTTTATTTAATAGAAATACGTTGGTGACCTCTTTAGTATTAAAAAGCTTTTAAGCTTGATGAAAATTTTCTTTAGTGGTTTATAGAGCTAATCGATAAATATACCAATATTTCAATTAAGAATACTTATGTACTTTTAATATCCTTGTTTAATTTTTATGATCACGATCACCTATGGAACGAAAATAATTTTTTTCAATGATTATTATGGGTATGTTTTGAGATTTTTGAGTAAGGCAAAACCACATACAAATGCAACATTTATTAATTAAAATTTTAGTGAAAAAAATAAATATAATTTTATTAAAGTGGTTTTGCCTATAGGAATAGTTGAATATTTATTGAATATTTTATAGAGATAATTGTTGTGGTGTCATCGTTTTAGTTTACTACTACTAATAAAAAAATTAATACCTATATGTATAATTTTTCAGTGGTGATATACCTATCAAGTAAATAACTTTTGCTTGATGTAAACATTCTATTTGAATTAATTTTTTTAATGTTTGTTGGGCAAATGAAAACAATAAACGAAATTATACATAGAATATCTAAGTATTGGTTTGAGAGATTCTTCTGTACGTTACCAAATTTGTCTTTACTGACTGAAATTTCTTAGTTGGTAGAAAATCACCAAATGTATTATTTTATATAAAAAAGATATTTAGAAAAACTGATCCAGTGGAATAAAATAAAAAACGATGACGTCCTATGGTATACAAATCAAGACACAATAATTGTTGAAATGATGTTTTGTGTGTAAGCTATCTGATGAAAATGGTGTCCTTTGTGTGTAATTTATAACCAATTTAATCTTACCTCTCCCTCAGCTCTTTTCTTTTCGAGTTCCTTCTGTTTGGCATATTCTTCAGCGATTCTAGCCTCGATAGCTGCAAGTGACTCGCGTGTGAATGGACGGAATAAACTGCGCTCCTCCTCAGAGAATGAGTCAGAGGCGACGGACATGTCTCCTCACGCCTAGGCCCCCACGATACCCTGCAAATAACCAAATAAAGGTTTTATTAAGCCCTAGACAATGGGATAGTACGTGACCCCAATGTATAAAACAAAGAGTATTCTATCCATTTGCTCACAAATACATGAAATGGTTTCTTTTAAGTTATACATTAATACACCCACTGACAACTCCAGGAGAAAATGACCCATTTAAATTTTTCTTATTAAGATAAATATTTAGATATTTTGAATTTAGAATTCGTGGACTTGTTCAACCGCTGCCTGTATAAAGGTATCTCACTCAGATACACGAGGCTGAAACACTGCAGACAACAGCGTTGCCAGTCTAGTACAATTGTACCAGATCTAGTACATTATTTAAGAATCTAGTACTCTAGTACACTCAAAGAAAAATCTAGTACTTTTACTTTTTCAGCCAGTTTCCATTGGACGGGTAAAATGGTTGGGTTCTTCCTTGTTTGTGTTCGTTTTCGATAAAAGCTTTTTTTGCTCTTCTGAATCAAACCATCATAATTCGAAAAATATGGTACACTTTATAGAGTCTGGTTCGTTTTTATGGAATCTGGTACATTTCTCAGACAAATCTGGTACATAACAAAAATAAATTCTGGCAACACTGGTCCTTACCACATTCAAAATGCCGGGTACGGTCGACTTTAGGTCAAGTAAAATTTTAAAGAAATGTATTTTTTATCAGAAAGAGCGTATTTTAAATAGTACATAAAAAAAAATTGCGGTAAATGCATTATTTAAGCCAAAAAAATTATTTAATTTCTATAAAAATCAGCATTTTGACGACTAAAAACATAGAAACGCGATGGTTTCTGTCAAATTTAGAAAATATAATTACAACGTTGCCGGATTATGATAAAATTAGTAGTTAATGGAAAATTGTGATTGCGCTTACCGATCCATAAATATGCAACAAGAAAACGAAGCAACGACTTATCGTAGGATGGCGGCTTCGCCGCAACCAAAAAACATCAACCCATACCTGGCTACGCTGACCGGCATAGACTCCAACGGCCTGGACACAGCTCAAATTGAATAATTGAAATGAAAAGTCTCATATAAACAAATTTATATTATGGTTTTATCATTTGGCTTGGAGCTATTGAAAAAACAGCCACTGTCATTCCTGTTATGTACGTTCGTTTATTATGTTTGACAACTCCACATTTATAGAAATAAAAATATCAGTTGTCATATTATTCATAAAAAATAATATAGAATGTTATTACCATGAATATATTTATTTATAACAAATAACAAAAAGTAATTGGCAACATCGCTAAAATCACGCACAGGCGCTCTTAGTGTGACCAAAGAATACCTACCCAAGAAGCGACACTAAATGGGCGATTCGTGGACAAAAAATTGCCAAGTTTTCTCAGTGTTTTAGAGGTAGTTTAACGTCAAATATAGTTGTCAGTTCATGTAGTGTATGACGTTTGGTATATTATTCTTAGCGTTTTGAGAAAATTTCAGTAGGTTTATTTAAAAGTAGTAATTATATATTAGATAGTTTAAAGGTTTTTATTACAATGAAAAAAATACATTGCGTTGTTCGTGGTTGTGTTACAACTTCAGAACAAGGGCTAACAATGTTTATATTCCCAGGAGATGCCATAAGGTATGTACTGAAATGTTACTGTTCAAATTTATTTAGAAAAATTAAGTATAAATAAATATAATTTTGTAGAGCTCAACTCTGGTTAAAAGCTTGTAATCGTGAAGATTTAAATTTCACAGTTCCTAGTGGCTTATCTTCATATAGAATATGTGAACAACATTTTGAAGAAAAATATTTTTCAAACAGTACATCTTATAAAAGACGATTATTTGACAATGCTGTACCCACAGTATTCTCCAAATGCAAACGAAGCTATGATATTTTTCTACGACCACTTAGGAAAATGACACATATCACACTATGGAAAGTGCCCTATATCACACGCGTATGAATAAGAATTTACTTTCCACCCGTGTACGAATATGCTACTTTCCGCAGTAGCTGTCAGAAAATGTTAAACATATAATTTCTATTTTGATCTATGTAATGTCCATATTAATACTAAAATCGATATGATTGTTAAATTATTGAAATTGTTGTAAATTAGATCCTAGATATTTATCTTTAACAATTATTATTAAAATAATTGTAAAATAACTAAGATATGTTCTTTTTATTCTGGTTAAATGGATAACCGATTAGATCATTCAATTGATGTAAGTGCAATTAGCTCAGATGGTTAGAACGTCGAACTTATTAACTTTGCCATTTGATACTTGGCGAGCGACCGCGTTCAAATCTTGGCGGGGCCAGAATTTTTTTTTTGTTTTTTTTTTTATTTTTAGTATTTTTTTTTGTTTAGAAATGTGAAAATTGAATAAATACGATTATTGTTGATTATTTTTTTAAATACATTTTAATTATTATAGTAATAATAACCTGGTTTTACATTTTTTGATGTCATTATTTTGTGGTCGTAGAAAAAATATTGTACATCATTTGTGTGAAAAAGGATTTTCCACACTCGTGTGATAGTCGCACTCAGCTTGTGCCTCGTGCGACAATATTTCCCACTTGTGTGAAAAATGTCACTTTCCACACTCGTAATGTCAAATTTGGAAAATATAATTGCAACGTTGCCAGATTGTGATAAAATTAGTAGTTAATGAAAAATTGTGATTGCCCATACCGGTCCATAAATATGCAACAAGAAAAAAAGCAAGGACTTATCGTAGCCGCCACCCTACGATAAGTCGTAAAGTGGCTTCGCCGCCACCAAAAAACATTAACCCATACCTGGCTACGCCGACCGGCATAGACTCCAACGGCCTGGACACAGCTCAAATTGAATTACATAAGACATTGAGGACCATTTAAATATTTATTATATTTTCGAAATAAATAATTTTTTTGAGCTTTTAAGGGCCTTGGCACATGGAAAATACTTGGATAAAACTGTATTATAATGTTGATAATGTAATTTTAAATAACTTTTATATTATGACCGTTTTTAAGATATGAATGGCTTGAGGATGTGTCAGGGAAATTTTTCAAAATAATCTTGCTTCTTTGGAAACAAAACTTATTGTTCTTTAAAGATAGTAATTCATTTCGCGTAGTTGATATCATTTTAAAGATATAAAATAACTATTTATTTGAAAAAATTAGAAAGTCATGTATATGTCGCTTTAATGTGAAATTACCCACCTGCCAATCCTGGTTTTTGGTACGTCTGAGGATGCCTAGACATTTTTTTATTGCTATGTTTCTTATTGCTTATTGATCAAAATAATCTAAGGATGAACTAAATAAGAAATACATTTTCCAATTCCAAAAATTAGAATCTTGCATTTTTTGTCAAATTTCTCGAATACGGACCATTTTAAATGACAAAAATTATAGAGAATAACATTACAAGTAATTTTTATTTAAAGAATTTTCTTCTCCAAGCGTAAATGTCAGATATATTCCATAAAGTAGAAAAACAACCTTCTACAAAGTACCCCCAGATTTTTCGACTATTTCCAAAAATTAAATCACTATTTTGTTTTTCAAACCATACGGACTGTGATCGATTTAATCCATTAAATAATATACATATAAACAATTTTATAGTAAGGATTAAAACATTAACATATATGACAGACTCACTCTGAGGAACCAAGTCGCTGCTATCAGGATCATGCAATCAAAATACATTCTCAGCTACCTACAGTACTTATTACTAAAATTATTATTATTATTAACATTATCTATTGAACATAGTAAGAATTTTCCGTCATTTTAACTTTAGTATGTGTTTAATTCTCATGAACCAAACAACAAAAATTGATTGGAATTATACGTTTCATGTACTTGAAGAACGGAACGTTCAAATGAACGAAATTATTTCAATTTAATTCGGTTATCATAAATGAGTAAAATATAGTCTTAAAATGATTTATTGATAATAAAAAGAAAACTATATTGTATTGTTTTTATAATGTACTTAGAGTAAATACCTTATATACAAAACTCGTTTTTCAACCCTCAAAATAGTCAAAGTATTCTGAAAGAACCCTTTAAATTACGTATTTTTTACTAATGTGCGGATGAAAACACCCCGCTAAATGTTATTGAATAAATCATCCTAACATATATTGATAAGATTAAAAAAATATTCAACCTCAAAAGGGCATCGGAAACCACCCCAACACCGCAAACCCTTGAATTAAATATTTTCCTGTTGCTTATAGGTAGAAGAAACTCCGCTAGATTTGATAAATTAAATCATTATATGATATAAAAATTAATTGTAAAAAATATTCATCATTCAAAGTGCATCGGAAAGCACCCCTGCTGCAACCCTTAGAATTGTATAATTTCCTGTTACTTATAGAAAAAAGAAACCCCGCTAGATTTTACTGATTACATTATTATATGATATAATAATTAATTTTAAAAAAGATTCAGCATTCAAAGTGCATCGGAAAGCACCCCTGTTGCTACCCTTAGAATCGAATAATTTCCTGTTACTTGTAGAAAAAAGAAACCCCGCTGGATTTTACTGATTACATTATTATATGACATATTAATTAATTATAAAAAAGATTCAGCATTCAAAGTGCGTCGGAAAGCACCCCTGTTGCAACCCTTAGAATCGAATAATTTCCTGTTACTTATAGAAAAAAGAAACCCCGCTGGATTTTACTGATTACATTATTATATGATATAATAATTAATTTTAAAAAAGATTCAGCATTCAAAGTGCATCGGAAAGCACCCCTGTTGCAACCCTTAGAATTGTATAATTTCCTGTTACTTATAGAAAAAAGAAACCCCGCTGGATTTTACTGATTACATTATTATATGATATAATAATTAATTTTAAAAAAGATTCAGCATTCAAAGTGCATCGGAAAGCACCCCTGTTGCAACCCTTAGAATCGAATAATTTCCTGTTACTTATAGAAAAAAGAAACCCCGCTGGATTTTA